ATATCTTCCTATAACTTAACATCCATATCCGCCCTGATACCGTACATACTCCCTACTCCTCCCGTAACTTACACCACTCCCTATCCTCCCTGTAACTTACGACATTTCCATATCCTCCATTAAACTTACACACGTCCACTATCCTCCCTCTAAACCTACACACTCCCTACTACTCCTCTAACTTACACACTCCAATATCCTCCCTGTAACTTACACACTCCATTCTTCCCGGTCTACTTACATAGTGTCCCTTCCTCGTATAAACTTACCACACTCCATATCTCCCTTAACTTACACACTCCATATCTCTCCTCTAACTTACACACTCCCTTCCTCCCGTAACTTACACACTCCATATCCTCAGTACTAAACCTACGCACTCCTATCCTCCCTGAACTTACACACTCCCTATCCTCCCTCTAAACTTACACACTTCCCCAGTCCTCCCCTGTAACTTAACACACTCCAACTATCCTCAGTTATAACACTACAACACTCCACTATCCTCCCTGTATACTACACATCCCTTATCCTCCCTTAACTCTACACACTCACAATCCTCCCTGTAACTATACACAATCCCTATCCTCCTGTAACTTACACACTCCCTATCCTCCCTGTAACTTACACAACTCCTATGATCTCGCTGGAACGTACACACTCCATATCCTCCTTGCTAACTTACAGCACTCCATATCCTCCCTGCCCTACTTAAATAATATAACCTAGTCCTCCTGGTAAATTACATAGTCTCTATCCTCCCTGTAACTTAACCACACTCCCATATACCTCCCTGTAACTTACACAACTCCATTCATCCTTCCCTTGTAACGGTACACACTCTCTATCCTCCTCTGACTTACATTACTCCATATCCTCCTGTCAACTTACACACTCCCTTGTCTTCAGTATAACTTCACACTACTCCCTATCTCTCCCTCTAACTTACACACTCCATATCCTCCCTGTAACTTACACACTCCATATCCCTCCTTGTACGCTATACACACTCCCCTAATCCCTGTAAACTTACACACTCCATATCCTCCTGTAACTTACACACTCCATATCCTCAGTATAACCTAACACACTCCATATCCTCCCTCTTACTTACACACTCCATCATCTCAGTAATAACTTACACACTCCATATCCTCCTGTAAACTTACACACTCCATATCCTCCCTGTAACTGTACAACACTCCATATCCTCCTTACTCTAACCACACGTCCATATCCTCCCTCTTCAACTTACACACTCAAATATCCTCCCTGTAATTACCACAACTCCATTATCCCTTGTAACTGACACACTCCCTATCCTCCCTCGTACTTAACACACTCACTATCCTCAGTCCATAAGCCGCGGGTGACCTCCCCCGCCACACCCTCGCCACCAACCTACACACTCCATATCCTCCCTGTAACTTACACACTCCCTATCCTCCCATGTAACTTACACACTCCATACCTCTTTGTAACTTCCACCTCCCTATCCTCCCTGTAACTTACCACCTCCCTTCCTCCCGTCAACTTACTCACACTTCCATTCCTCCCTGTTGCTTTACATTAGTCCATGTCAACTCATTATAAACTTATCAACTCCATATTACCTCCGGCTACTTACACACTCCCTATCCTCCCTGCTAACTTACACACTCCCTCCTCAGGCTATAACTTACACTACTCACTATATTCCTCCTCTAACCTTACCACTCCCTATACCTCCTGTAACTTACTACACTACCATATCCTCAGTATAAACGACACCACTTCCATATACCTCACCTGTAACTGACACGACTCCATATCCTCCCTCTAACTTACACACTCCATATCCTCCATGTAAGTTACATACTCTCTATCCTCAGCATAACTTTTGATAAAAATAATACGTTATTTTGCCTGCTCTGTAGAACCGGCAGATAATGTTAAAACTTGCCACGTTCTAAGCCAACGAACAGTTAATCCTGCTGCATGTACATAAATTATAAATGTACACTACGGATACGTTGTTTGTATGCATTATTACGTGCCTTATATAGAGCAATATTCTCATTGCACATATAAAATTTAAAACTCGGGCGCGCGAGATTTTTTGTATTAATGCATGATTCACATGGATTTCTACTGATGAATGCTTCGTCAGTGGCTGTCATAGAGCCGCCCTTATTAGCATTATTGCTAGTCTGCACTTTTTATCAAAACGTATAGGAACGGGCGGATTCAAATGAATGTACTAACAAAAGCGAATTCGAGTGACTCGCTGCTACATACGGCTGCATTTTTATTACACACACAAGAGCATTCAACTGCATGGAGCGCCTCGTTGTCGCGCGCCCGAGTTAGACTGAGCATGGATTATTCATATAGGTAGACCCGTAGAGCAGCAACGTCGGTGCATTGGCCTCTCTCTCTGCTCCTCTTCTCTCTCTAAAATCTCTCGCTTTTCCCCCCTCTCTCTCCTCTCTCCACTCTCTCAGAATATAATATATATATATACTATATAATATATAAATATATAATATAGATTCCAATGTGTTTATGACTGTGTGTCCGAGAGTGCTCATACTACCATGAGTAGGAGCAATTATAGATAAAGTTATACGACACGGCAGAAATTTGAACTCTGTTATTGCATAACACAACTGTTTCCGTTGTGGAGCGAAAGCTCCACACGATCAGGTGCCAATACGAGCTGATCATTTTAGAACATCCAAGCAGTATAAAAACATTCATGCATCAATGTGATCTATTGTTCATATGCGTGCAGCGTTCTAAAAAATACCTAGTACTCAATTAGCGCGTTCACTTGTCCGGTGACTGCTGCGCGCTGGCGCTAAAACTGAATTCATTGTAGAGTTCACATAACGTTCCTGTAATAAAAAATTTATCTTTATGTCTGATTTACTACAAGTTCGTTTCTCTTGTTCAGTGTCGCCGCCGTCTCAAGTTTCGCACAATATGCTAGAACTTCTCTGTTAAGACATAGGTGCATTTCTTCGTAGTCGCTTCGATAGTGTGGCGCTTTGCTCAGTCTAATTACCATGTATACGACGTAAGTCTAGAGTTGTTGTCTTTCAAGTTCCAAATATGGTTTACTAATTTTCATCACGAATTTTTCTACCGGGTCCGTATCAATTTTATGCTATATTATATATATATGATATATATTGATATATATATCTTACTATAAATTGGAGATTTTCTGTGTGTGTCGTGTGGTCCCGGCTATTACGTTTCCGCACGCTCAAAGGATCCTCTCCTAACGCTGTCGGAATTACATACTACACAGTCATGCACACAGTTTCATTTTTCACATTCCACGTCAAAAAACAATTCAAAAAGTGGGGAAATTTTGCACACAGCGCGCGTGCAAGACGTCACAAACACGAACACACAACTAGGCAATGTGAAAACAATGTATAACCAAGGCGGCTCCATCTAATAAGATTTTCTAACGTTGCTCCATCTAATCAAAGCCGTTAACCCCTATAATTGAAGCGGGTTTAATGGGTTTTGACTATCTCAACCAAAGAATCTTGACACGTTTTTTTTTATCTTAACATGGAGCGCCATTTCGATCTAACATAAGTCCAGTTTCCAGACGGCAAAAATTGATTTAGTAACAAGTGCCAGCTAATGCCACCAAAGGAACGGGCATTCAACTGACACGTCGAGGATATTAAAGCATCGACAAGATAGCCGCCGCAAGACACTCGCCCGCTGTCAAGAAACTCCTGATGCGCACGTAAGAATTAGATCAACCGTAAACGAAACGTACAACGCTTCAGACGACTCTAATAATTTACTCTTACAAGCTATCTTATTTTTTAGTTAGTGTGTGTTATGCGCACGCGCGCGGCGCGCGGTGTGTTTGTTTGTGTGTGTAGTGTGTGTGTGTGTGTGTTGTCGTGTGCTGTGTGTGTGTGTGTGTTGTGTGTGTGTGTGTGTGTGTGTGTGTTTATGTGTGTGTTTGTGTGTGTGTGCTGGTGTGTGTGTGTGTGTGTGTGTGGTGTGTGTTTTTGTGTGTGTGTGTGATGTGTGTGTGTGTGTGGGCTGTGTGTGCTGTGGTGTGGGCGTCGTGCCGTGTAGTGTCATGGGTGTGTGCGTGTTTGATAGCGTATGCGTGTGTGTGGTAGTTTATGGCGGAGACGCTCCCTGCTGGTGGGCGGTGCGTGTGTAGTCGTGCGTGTTTTTGCGTGTGCGTGTGCGTGTGGTGTGCGTGTCGCGTGTGCGTTGGTTGGGGCGTTGTGCGTGTGCGCTGTGCGGTGTGCGTGGTGCGTGGCTGTGTTTTCGTGTGTGTGTGTCGTGCGCGCGCGCGTGTGTGTCGTGTGTGCGTGTGTGTGTGTGTGTGTGTGTGTGGTGTTGTGTGTGTGTGGTGTGGCTGTAGTGTGGGTGTGTGTTGTGGTCAGCTCGTGTCGTGTGCGTGTTGCGTGCGGGGTTGGTGCCGTGGTTCTGTATGTGTGCCGGGTAGTGGTGGTAGTGGGTGATTTATGTGTACGTGTGCGTGTGTTGTGTATCTTGCGTGTGTGCGTGTGCGTATGATAGTGCGTGCGCGCGTGTGGGTAAGTGTGTGTGTCGTGGTTGATGTGTGCGCTGCGTGGGCGGTGCGGTGGCGTGGGCGTGCTTGAGTGCGGGCGTTGGTGTGTGGTGCGTGTAGCGCGCACGTTGCGTGTGTTGCGTGTGTGCGCTGTGCGGCAGTGGCGTGCGTGCGTGTGTTTGTGTATGTGTGTGCGTGCGTGTGTGTATATGTTCGTGCGTGCGTGCGTGCGTGTGTGTGTGTGCGTGCGTGCGTGCTTGTGCGTGGGTGCGTGCGTGCGTGCGTTTGTGTATGTATGTGCGTGCGCGCGCGCGTATGTGCGTGCGCGTGCGTGTGTATTTTACCCGACTCTCTGAATTATCACCACGAACCTTGGCGCCGAGGAAATGCGCTTAATTTGTTCTATATTGTGCCAGCAGATGGCGGTGTAAACCCAGCAAATAGTTTGTGCACAGCGCAGCAACATTTCCGTATTTTTAGTTGGCTTGTTTGTATTTCTAGTTCCTGATCCTAGACAAATCTAGTACTAGTAGTGGTCTTGGCGTTAATTTCTCAAGACAGCTAGTTTTTTTTTCGAAACGAAGTCATAGCTGTAAATAATGACAATGGGTGATGAATCTCCCGTAATTGCTATGGCCCTTCCTGGTCTCATTCAGCCAATTTTAGACAAGGTGAGGTGCTGCAACTTGCTATGTAACAACTCTGTGGTACTACTACTACTAGTCTACGGGCACTGCTCCTACTACTAGTACTAGTAAGTACTACTACTAGTACTACTACTACTAGTACTAGTACTAGTACTACTACTTGTACTACTACACTACTAGTACTACTACTTACTAGTACTACTAGTCTCTTAGTACTAGCACTAGGGCCATAGCCTAGTTTAGCACAGCGCAGCAACTTTTCCGTATTTTTGAGTTGGCTTGTTTGTATTTCTAGTTCCTGATCCTAGAGAAATCTACTACTACTAGCACCCCGAATTAACTAGTACTACTACTACTTTTCGAGTACTAGTTGGTCCAGTGTTAGTACGTGTTATCAGTGCTCGAAATAAGAAAAAAAATGTGGTTGCCCTGCGGACAACCCAGGCATCAAATCGGGTTGTCCGCAACAATTTCTGGTTGTCCCAAAAA